CGATATGACAGATAATGTACTGTGAAATACATGTAGAAATACAGTTTTTGGTTGCCGTAATACTCAAACTATATCCAGGCAAGGTTTAAGGTCACAAAGTGGACAGCCCTTGGCTAGGTGTCAACATGATTTATATAAACTCTAAGCGTGTTGATGATTTGGCTGTATATAATTTTTGCAAATGGATAAATAAATCATTTCTTTTTATCACATTTTTAAAAATGGAATATCAGAGGATTGAAAATAGCTTGTGTATATTAACTCATGAGCAAGTGTTAATTAATATTACTTATAATATTATTAGGGTTGATTAAAACCACCAGCAGAATATATTGTAGTTAGAACGAATGGATGTTTACAAAACAATAATGATGTTTTATTCTAAATTATTTGCAAGAGATTTGACTCAAATGTGTCTCAGTTTCTTTTTAACCAAACATCGTTTAAATATATATCTTATGGATAATTGTTAGCGTGGTAGTAATAGTAACTTCTTATACAATGCAACACCTTGTCATCACATATACTTTATTTACCGTACAGATTCATCTCCAGTGATACTAGGAGTACTCACGAATATAGACAACCAAACAACATGCTTACAGAAGTACACCCTGGCAGAAAAGCATATGTAACAACAGCAATCTCAACAGCAATCTCAACAGGCATATGGTCTCTTCAAAAATATACTTAACAAGATATATTTATATATGGAAAATTGCATTTAACTCTGGTAATACTTGTAAGATAGTAAGTGTATCAAATGATATGGTTGTATATAATTGTGTCATCAATTTTTTATACAGACTTAGTTGGATAAACAAGAAGTTAAATGATAACAAGAAAACCTTAAAGAACAATCAGCAGTAAATTGTGTTGATATAAGACTCTTGGCTTTTAGGACCAAGTCTGTAACTAAGATGCTTTAAGGGCAAAGTCTGTAACCAAAGGGCTTTTAGGGCCAAGTCTGTAACTAAGATGCTTTAAGGGCCAAGTCTGTAACTAAAGGGCTTTTAGGGCCAAGTCTGTAAATAAGGGGCTTTAAGGGCCAGGTCTGTAACTAAGATGCTTTAAGGGCCAAGTCTGTAACTAAAGGGCTTTTAGGGACAAGTCTGTAACTAAAGGGCTTTAAGGAGAAACCCTACATTTAGAACCGTACATGTACTTCAGGATACAATTTGTGCTGTACTAGTAACCAAACATTATCAGTCTAAAAAGATGGCAGAAGGATAGACATGTCTGTACAAATATAACAATTCTGTTTCATACACATTCATGATGATTGTTAAATCAAGAAAATATTATAAATAACTATATTTAAAGCACAGGAATACAAATTACAGCTCATATTGTGTATTACAATAAAATAAAGTCTTAATATACCACAAGAAAATGATCACTCATTCTGCAATTAATATAGTTATACATGTATCAATAAATCTATGACAAATTTATCTAATTATTAATTTATAAATTTTTCATTGATCTTAATATAAATAGTAACAAGACATAGCACATGGAATTAAAACCAATATCTATAACGTTAGGTACTGGTTAATTTTCAAATATTTGGTACAATAATCTCCCTGGCTTAATAAGTATAAATGCTTTATAAGCTCAATTATATTTGAGATTTTATTTATTCTGAACAGTTTACTGTAGATATTTTCTGACTTTCATAACTACATATGTAACTCTTTTATTTAAAATGAGTAAAAGCTCAAATATAACTGAGCAAATTTGATAATGGTGTAGAAGGCACATATAACATCCGTGTAGTGTACATCTGATCCAACTCAGAGTGGCTACTCTAAACAACACTAACAAACGTAACATTAAACCCCAAACAATAATTCACTGTCAGAAAGTGAAAAATCAGTATTTTATTTTATAACAGCAAATGACTTTTTTTCTACTGTATACCGGTAAAATGATAAAGTGTTTGTTTATTGGTAAATAAAAAGACGTTCGCAAATACATTTGTAGGCTATGTTCTGTTCAATTTATAAGCCTACAACTGTACATTAATATTTGTTACGTTCAGTTCATTTTATAACAGAAAATAACAAAATTGCTAGATAAATTGATGTTTAAATTAATCCAAAACATCTACTCAATTTATTAATACATTATATCAATAAGTTTTTTAACCTAGATTGCATTTCATGATTTTTTTGTGTGCTAAATATAGCACACAGCTAATTGTTAGTTATCATTTGCAGTTACCTGTAAATAGAAAAATGTATTTTTGCAAACTTGCAAACTTGCAGGATATGTACACGATACAAAAAAAAATTGATGCGATAATATGACACATATACATAAAACTTGTAACATAAATCTATACTGGTATGGTCATTAGCAAGCATGTATGTAGGCTATCTCAATCAATTGACAAGTGATCAATGTATAAGATGGATGTATATAAATAAATTGAGGACAGTGCTATATTGTTTGTCGCCGTCTTTTACTGAACATTATGTCAAACCTTCTTCTCTGCCCAGAATGAGGGATAAGGTAATATACAGGTGCCAGAATTTCCCCATTACTTTAAGATTGCGAAAAATCAATCACTGTAACAAAACTGAAGAAAAAACTTAAAGTTGTCACCTCAGTACTAGAAAATAATCGATTAAAATATGGCACAATTTTTTCTATTCATAGAACTATATGACACACAATAATACCTTGAACATCATAGAACAGCTTGTTTTCTATGACAGAAAATGACAAATATCATGAATAAATAAATCAATAACAATGGTTTCTGATAAGGATTCTCGCTACACTAAATAACAAAAAACAAGTGGCCCGAACGGCCTGAACGCTCACATGAGTTCAAATCTGAAATGTTTCAGCAAACAGAGGCCACAGTGGCCATCTTGGATTTTCTGATCGGCAGGGAAAGTAACAACACTTGTCTGAGATCTCTTAAAGAATTTTGTACCAAAGTTGGAGCCAATCAATGCAGCCCTTGTTGAGAAGAATTCGAAATTTGTCCCAGCAAATCAGAGACCATGGCAGACATCTTGAACTTTTTGGATTGGCACTAAAAGTAAGACCCCTTGTTGAGGACCTCATAAAAAACATTTGAACTAAATTTGGAGTCAGTTGGTACAGCCAATCTTCAAAAGAAGTCAAAAGTGTCTCGGCCAATCTTACTCTAAGGTGGCAATCTTTGATTTTCAGAAGAGCACTTGTAAAGGACTGATAAGAAACATTTGTAGCAAGTTTGAAGTCAATCACTTCAGCCATTCTTGAAAAGAATTAGACAATTTCTCAGCTAAAATCCATGGTGGCCATCTTGGATTTTTGATCCACATGAAAAACCGGAACACTTGGTCGGAAGAAGTGAAAAATGTAAATTGTTAAGCATGACGATGATGCACAGTGCACAAGACATTATGATAAATAAAGACAGGTGGCAAAACCTCGCATGAGCAATCATGTGAGCTCAAAATCCAGAAGTACTTTTTACATTTATGCTTGATTTTCTTGTAATGAATAATTCTAGCTGAGATTATGTGATATAGGCATCAATTTTGTTTTTGTGTGTTTTAGCTAGCTTCCCAACTTTGCCATAATGCTCAGTGTAGGCATGTCATATGTATTAGAGATGTTGCAATGAATTCCTGCATCTGAATTCAAGAGATGAAAACTAATAAACGAAGCAGGCCATTGATCACACAGTATACACAAGTCTATAAAAATATGCTCTGTATGACAAGCTAAACACGTAATGTTTTAATGAAGGAGAAGTGTTTTTCCTAGTTGTTTTACACACAGGTAGGTATATAATTTTGTAGTTGTCTGACCAAGTATTAATGAAAAGAACAAAATTAAGCAACATCCAGCACCAACACCACACTTTCACAATAATAGGCAGTTTAAAAAAATCTTAACCGTCACAATTATCATGTTATATAGATAACCAATATAAAATATTATCTAACTTTTATAATTGCATTGGAATGGTTAGGTTCATACTGTAAAAGGGTAACATAAAAGTAAATAGCCTTGTAAGGCATTGTGACACATATCATATGAAGCCACAACCTATAGCATGGTAGAAGTAATAAATGTTCCCATGCATATAGAACTTGTCCTTACTTTACATGTATTATGTGAACTTGAAAAAAACCCACCAAAAAACAGACTCATGTCATAATAACCTTACATTCACCAGAAAACAATCACTCAGTTTTTTATCAGTACATGCATTTTAAACAATTTATCTCCAATCCCAAAATGTAACTGTTTTCAGCAGGTATATATACACCTGGGATGGAATAGTAATTCTGGAATGAACAAGGATCCTATATATCTAGCAGTTTTTAACAGTGGTATGGGGTTTCTGTCTGTAGCTGGTACTGGACAGGGATGGGAACTCTGTTTTTACCTCATACAGGACTGGCATAGGAACTTTATCACAACTCAGACAGGACAGGGATGGGAATTCTGTTTTTACCTCATACAGGACTGGCATAGGAACTTTATCACAACTCAGACAGGACAGGGATGGGAATTCTGTTTTTACCTCATACAGGACTGGCATAGGAACTGTATCACAACTCAGACAGGACAGGGATGGGAATTCTGTTTTTACCTCATACAGGACTGGCATAGGAACTTTATCACAACTCAGACAGGACAGGGATGGGAATTCTGGCTGAAGCTTGTACAGGACTTTGATAGCAACTTTGTCTCTACATTTTACAGGACTAGCTGGGAAGGGGATTCAGTCTCTAGCTGGTACATTTTATGTATTTCTGCACAGGGTTGGGAACTCTAAGTCACCGCATTTTACAGGACTAGCTTGGAAGGGGATTCAGTCTCTATCTGGTCCAGGACTTGGATGGGAACTCTATCACAACTCAGACAGGACTGAGATGGGAACTCTGTCACTACTTACAGGACTTGGATGGGAACTCTGTCACTACTTACAGGACTTGGATGGGAACTCTATCACAACTCAGACAGGACTGAGATGGGAACTCTGTCACTACCTACAGGACTTGGATGGGAACTCTGTCACTTCTTACAGGACTTGGATGGGAACTCTATCACAACTCAGACAGGACTGAGATGGGAATTCTGTCACTAGCTGGTAAGAACTCAAATAAGATTGGAACTGGTACAGATTTTGGAATGAACTTCATGTCACTCACTATAATACAGGACTGGGATGGGAATTCTGGCACTAGATTGGATGAGTTGGAGAAAGGTAAGGAATGCTAACAGTGGCCAGGATATAACCAGGAATCCATAGTCAATGTGTGTAATTCCTTCAGTCATACATAAGTGTTGTACTCATAAATTGATGTGATATACATTTTGACTCGTTTAACACATTAGAGAAAATTTCTATGATGAGTTTTCAACCATTGTCACTGTAGAAAATGGTATTGACTCAGACGATATGGTAACATTAGCAGATTTAAACAAGTTCCTTTTTAAGCATTTTAACTAGAGATAATGACTCGGATGAGTACCCAATTGTTGTAACTGTAATATAAGTGGTGTATCAAATGAGATCCATGCAAGTGTCACTGTAGTAATAATATTGACCTGTGTGAGTTTCCAACCATAGTCACTGGAGAATACCATAATAGTTTAGACTCTGATGAATTCTCAACCATCACCACTAGATTAATAGTATTTACACAAGTTCCCAACCACCCAACCATCATCACTGGAGTAATAGTATTGACCAGGACGAGTTCCCAACCATTACCACTGGAGTAATGTATTGACTCTCACAAGTTAACAACCATCATCAAAAGAGCAATATAATGACTCAGGTAAGTTCCCAAATCACTGCAGCAATAAATTAAGTCAGGCCAGTTCCAAACCATCATCACTGGAGTAAATCAACTCAGACGAGTTACCGAACATGATCGATGGAGCAATATAATGACTGATAAGTCCCAAATCACTGGAGCAATAAATTGACTCAGCCGAGTTCCAAACCATCATCACTGGAGCAAGAAATTGAATCAGACGAGTTCCCAACCATTATTACTGTAGGAATATGTTGACTCAGACGAGTTCCAAACCATCATCACTGGAGCAATAAATTGACTCAGACGAGTTCCCAACCATCATCACTGGAGCAATAAATTGACTCAGACAAGTTCCCAACCATCATCACTGTAGCAATTTGTTGACTCAGACAAGTTCCCAACCATCATCACTGGAGCTACTGATGCCACGCTTGTTGTTTTTTTCCAGTAGTGGATCACCGCCTGTTTGTTTACGCAGTAGAAATTTCGTCCTTCGTCTGTAGATATGTCCATCCTGATTGATGGCCCATATGTCATCTGATGCTGACGCTGTAACATCAGATAGGATTTTTTTTTAAATCATGTAAAAAAGTTTTAATGTTTAATCCATCAAGCACTTTGATAATTCAAAAAATTCAAATATGACGTTAAAAATACCTGACAATGAATGTAACGTTTACTATATAGAGTAACAAATTTCATATCACAATCTATGTAAATACCTTTTCAGCAAGGTTTATATACAAGTATATGAAGTGGAATAGAAAAAAAAAAATCAACAAAGTAAATCTCACCTGCAAGTTTATGACATCATCACAATGTTCTTATAGTTAAGGATTCTCAAGCCACTACGGGCAAACACTAAAGAATTCCACTGTAATTTTTCAGTCATGCAGTAACCTCCCCTTAATTTCGTTTTGAATATACCTGTAGTGAGACTGGGCTTGGGAAAAGCTGACAATCTAATTATATACCACATCTATTATATGTTGTAGGTGTAATAAAATAACAGCAACACCTGTTGTAGCAGTCTCCACTGACTTGTATAAGCTTAGAAAACTAATAGAAAATGTAACCACACAAGGGGTAAGATTCTTACATGGCGCCAGACTAATGGGGAAGATAAACAAACCATATAGCATAGATATGTGTTTACAAGTTTAGAACATAGAACCTACTGGATATGTGTATGAAGGTGCCAGTAACTTTCCTCCAGTAGTCCCCAGTAGGGTTCTCAGGTGAGACGCCATACCGACACAGGATTTCCCCGACAGGGTTCAACGCCCAAACATTTCTCTCACTGATGGTAATCTGCTGGGCTAATGTTCCTAAAATACAAATAGTGGTCTAATCAGAATTTTTAATAACTGTTTTCCTAACAAGCCAACTATTTCTGTAAAATTACAAAGAAATGTTTAAAGAACAGTGAAGTTAAACAGGACAAAACCTTTGCTAAAACAATTCAATTGACCTTCTGCTTGTTTTAATGACATCCCTGGTCACTCACTTGTCATAAAAAAATCATGACTAAAAACCAACTATTTTTGATTTCCAGTTACATATTAATAGACTCAGACAGTTTGTATCGCCAATTATGTTTTTATTTTAAAAGTTGTTTCATTTATGTTTAGAAAACAATAGCCTATATTAAACTGTGATTTCTCAATTCTGCCTCTTTTATTGAAAACTGTTAATTAAATCTCCAAACCATAATTTGATCTAAGGTTTCTTTGGATCCTCACTTGAATACACTTAAATTCAAATCTCTCCAGCATGGTCAGTATTGATATCACAGATCTGAGGCATATATATCTAAAGATGATTTTGTTCATTATCATTAATGTCAAGTTTGCCATGTGTTCCAATTGGATCACTTCAATTCAGTCTCAAGAAGTGAAAAAGTCTAGCTAAACATACGTTTTTATTAATGTTATATTTTGACAGATGGTAAACTTAAAGTTCTGCTGATTAGAGGCCTCTGTAGTACACCTAGGGTACCACAACTCTCTGTTGTAGACCAAGGGTATCATAGCTCTCTGTTGTAGACAAAAGATCCCATAGCTTTCTGTAGTAGACCTAGGGTACCATAGCTCTCTGTTGTAGACCAAGGGTATCATAGCTCTCTGTAGTACACCTAGGGTACCATAACTCTCTGTTGTAGACCAAGGTTATCATAGCTCTCTGCTGTAGACAAAAGATCCCATAGCTCTCTGTAGTATACCTAGGGTACCATAACTCTCTGTAGTAGACCAAGGATATTATAGCTCCATAGTAGACCTAGGGTACCATAGCTCTCAGTTGTAGACCAAAGGTAGCATAGCTCTCTGTAGTAGAACAAAGGTATCATAGCTCTCTGTAGTAAACCAAGGATACCATAGCTCTCTGTAGTAAAGCAAGGGTATCATAGCTCTCTGTAGTAAACCCAGGGTAGCATAGCTCTCTGTAGTAGACCCAGAGTAGCATAGCTCTCTGTAGTAGACCCACAGAATCATTGCTCTCTGTAGTAAACCAAGGATACCATAGCTCTCTGTAGTAAACCCAGGGTAGCATAGCTCTCTGTTGTAGATCAAGGGAACCGTAGCTCTCTGTAGTAGACCGACAGAATCATTACTCTCTGTAGTAAACCCAGGGTAGAATAGCTCTCTGTAGTAAATCAAGGATACCATAGCTCTCTGTTGTAGATCAAGGGAACCGTAGCTCTCTGTAGTAAATCAAGGATACCATAGCTATCTGTAGTAAAGCAAGGGTATCATATCTCTCTGTAGTAAACCCAGGGTAGAATAGCTCTCTGTAGTGAACCAAGGATACCATGGCTCTCTGTAGTAAAGCAAGGGTACCATAGCTCTCTGTAGTAAACCCAGGGTACTATAGCTCTCTGTAGTAGACCCAGAGTAGCATAGCTCTCTGTAGTAGACCCAGAGAATCATTGCTCTCTGAAGTAGACCCACAGAATCATTGCTCTCTGTAGTAAACCAAGGGTACCATAGCTCACTGTAGTAAAACCAGGGTACCATAGCGCTCTGTTTTAGACCCAGAGTATCATAGCTCTATGTTGTAGACCAAGGGTATCATAGTTCTCTGTTGTAGACCCAGAGAATCATTGCTCTCTGTTGTAGATCAAGGATACCATAGCTCTCTGTTGTAGATCAAGGGAACCGTAGCTCTCCGAAGTAAACCCAGGGTACCATAGCTCTCTGTAGTAAACCCAGGGTACCATAGCTCTCTGTTGTAGACCAAGGATACCATAGCTCTCTGTTGTAGATCAAGGGAACCGTAGCTCTCTGTAGTAGACCAAGGATACAATAGCTATTGGTTGTAAACCAAGGGTACCATAGCTGTCTGTTGTAGACCAAGGGTACCATAGCTCTCTGTTGTAAACCCAGGGTACCATAGCTCTCTGTAGTAAACCACGGGTATCATAGCTCTCTGTTGTAGACCAAGAATACAATAGCTATTGGTTGTAAACCAAGGGTACCATATTTGAACAAACTTGATTGGTTGTACACTCCCAGGTCAGGTCAAATTATCAACGTCCAAAAATAACAATTGAAGAAAAATATTTTCAGCGCATGATGTTCATTAAGTAATGAAATAAGGAAGAACAGTACCTACCTGGCACATGAACCCAGCTGGTACCAATAGGCATTCTGTCTGTGATACCAGTCCTTGTGTAAACCTGACGACGGTTATCAATGGCCCACACCTGTAACACAATCATAGAGGTAACAATAGCCAGTGTAAATCTGACAACAGTCATCAATGGCCCACACCTGTAACACAATCACTGAGGTAACAATAGCCAGTGTAAATCTGACGACAGTTATCAATGGCCCCGCACCTGTAACACAATCATGGAGGTAACAATAGCCAGTGTAAACCTGAAGACAGTTAGCAATGGCCCACACCTGTAACACAATCATGGAGGTAACAATAGCAAGTGTAAATCTGACGACAGTTAGCAATGGCCCACACCTGTAACACAATCATGGAGGTAACAATAGCAAGTGTAAACCTGAGGACAGTTATCAATGGCCCACACCTGTAACACAATCACAAAGGTAACAATAGCCAGTGTAAATCTGACAACAGTTAGCAATGGCCCACACCTGTAACACAATCATGGAGGTAACAATAGCCAGTGTAAATCTGACGACAGTTATCAATGGCCCCACACCTGTAACACAATCATGGAGGTAACAATAGCCAGTGTAAACCTGACGACAGTTAGCAATGGCCCACACCTGTAACACAATTAATGGAGGTAACAATAGCAAGTGTAAATCTGACGACAGTTAGCAATGGCCCACACCTGTAACACAATCATGGAGGTATTAATAGCCAGTATAAATCTGACGAAGTTAACAATTGCCAACACTTGTAACACAATCACAGAGGTACAAAAATTGTAACAATAGCATGTGTTAACCTGACCACAGTTATCAACAGTCCACACCTGTAATACAATCACGGAGGTAACAATAGTAAATGTAAATCTGACGACAGTTATCAACGTCCCACACCCATAACACAATCATAGAGGTAACAATAACAAATGTAAATCTGACCACAGTTATCAATGGCCCACAACTGTAACACAATCACAAAGGTAACAATAGCAAGCGTAAACCTAACGACAGATGTCAATGGCCCACACCTGTAACACAATCATGGAGGTACCAATAGCAAGTGTAAACCTGACCACAGTTATCAATGGCCCATACCTGTAACACAATCACAGAGGTAACAATAGCAAGTGTAAACCTGAAGACGGTTGTCAATGGCCAACACCTGTAACACAATCATGCAGGTAACAATATGTAAAAGCCAACGATTTAAGAAAACCTGCTTAGTGTTAGGAATTTTTTTCACCAGTTCACTCATCAATGAAACATAGTATGTGTCTAGAATAGTCATGAAATCCTTTTTTTCAGCTGGGATTATATATATTTTGCAATACTGTCTTTAATATATTGGCAAATTGATTAAGGACAAGCATTTTCAACTTCTTGACTAGCTGGCACTCATAATGATATTGCCCTTATACCTACCATCCAGTCCTTTGGCCCACTACTGATCTGGGAAAAGGTGGTGCCGCTGCTGGTCCCAGAATCGACAGGGAGCCATGCCTGTATGAGGGAGTGAGTGGAGGGTGCCTTAACTCCGATCCTCTGGTACACTACTCCATCGCTGTCTAAAGCCCAGACATTGGTATGTCCACATGACACACTCACAAGATGGACATCACCTGGAGATAGGAAGAGGCTCAATCACATGAGGGAGGGGAGATCGAGGCCCAATAAACACAAAGGAGAGGAGATTTAGGCTCAATAAACATGAGTGAGAGGAGGACGAGGTTCAATAAACATGAGTGAGAGGAGGACAAGGTTCAATAAACATGAAGGAGAGGAGGACGAGGCTCAATAAACATGAGTGAGAGGAGGACGAGGTTCAATAAACATGAAGGAGAGGAGGACGAGGTTCAATAAACATGAGTGAGAGGAGGACAAGGTTCAATAAACATGAAGGAGAGGAGGATGAGGTTCAATAAACATGAAGGAGAGGAGGACAAGGTTCAATAAACATGAGTGAGAGGAGGACGAGGTTCAATAAACATGAGTGAGGGGAGGACGAGGTTCAACAAACATGAGTGAGAGGAGTACCAGGTTCAATAAACATGAAGGAGTGGAGGACGAGGCTCAATGAACATAAAGGAGAGGAGGACGAGAGGAGGATGAGGGTCAATAAACATGAAGGAGAGGAGGACGAGGCTCAATAAACATGAGGGAGAGGAGGACGAGACTCAATAAACATGAGGGAGTGGAGGACGAGATCTCAGTAAACATACGGTAGAGGAGGACGGGGCTCAATAAACATGAAGGAGAGGAGGACGAGGCTCAATAAACATAAAGGAGAGGAGGACGAGGCTCTATAAACATAAAGGAGAGGAGGACGAGACTCTATAAACATAAAGGAGAGGAGGACGAGACTCTATAAACATAAAGGAGAGGAGGACGAGACTCTATAAACATAAAGGAGAGGAGGACGAGACTCTATAAACATAAAGGAGAGGAGGACGAGACTCAATAAACATGAAGGATAGGAGGACGAGACTCTATAAACATAAAGGAGAGGACGACGAGACTCAATAAACATAAAGGAGAGGAGGACGACACTCAATAACATGAAGGAGAGGAGGACGAGACTCAATAAACATGAAGGAGAGGAGGACGAGACTCAATAAACATGAAGGAGAGGAGGACGAGACTCAATAAACATGAAGGAGAGGAGGACGAGACTCAATAAACATGAAGGAGAGGAGGACGAGACTCAATAAACATGAAGGAGAGGAGGACGAGACTCAATAAACATGAAGGAGAGGAGGACGAGACTCAATAAACATGAAGGAGAGGAGGACGAGACTCAATAAACATGAAGGAGAGGAGGACGAGACTCAATAAACATGAAGGAGAGGAGGACGAGACTCAATAAACATGAAGGAGAGGAGGACGAGACTCAATAAACATGAAGGAGAGGAGGACGAGACTCAATAAACATGAAGGAGAGGAGGACGAGACTCAATAAACATGAAGGAGAGGAGGACGAGACTCAATAAACATGAAGGAGAGGAGGACGAGACTCAATAAACATGAAGGAGAGGAGGACGAGACTCAATAAACATGAAGGAGAGGAGGACGAGACTCAATAAACATGAAGGAGAGGAGGACGAGACTCAATAAACATGAAGGAGAGGAGGACGAGACTCAATAAACATGAAGGAGAGGAGGACGAGACTCAATAAACATGAAGGAGAGGAGGACGAGACTCAATAAACATGAAGGAGAGGAGGACGAGACTCAATAAACATGAAGGAGAGGAGGACGAGACTCAATAAACATGAAGGAGAGGAGGACGAGACTCAATAAACATGAAGGAGAGGAGGACGAGACTCAATAAACATGAAGGAGAGGAGGACGAGACTCAATAAACATGAAGGAGAGGAGGACGAGACTCAATAAACATGAAGGAGAGGAGGACGAGACTCAATAAACATGAAGGAGAGGAGGACGAGACTCAATAAACATGAAGGAGAGGAGGACGAGACTCAATAAACATGAAGGAGAGGAGGACGAGACTCAATAAACATGAAGGAGAGGAGGACGAGACTCAATAAACATGAAGGAGAGGAGGACGAGACTCAATAAACATGAAGGAGAGGAGGACGAGACTCAATAAACATGAAGGAGAGGAGGACGAGACTCAATAAACATGAAGGAGAGGAGGACGAGACTCAATAAACATGAAGGAGAGGAGGACGAGGCTCAATAAACATGAAGGAGAGGAGGACGAGACTCAATAAACATAAAGGAGAGGAGGACGAGACTCAATAAACATAAAGGAGAGGAGGACGAGACTCAATAAACATAAAGGAGAGGAGGACGAGACTCAATAAACATAAAGGAGAGGAGGACGAGACTCAATAAACATGAAGGAGAGGAGGACGAGACTCAATAAACATGAAGGAGAGGAGGACGAGACTCAATAAACATGAAGGAGAGGAGGACGAGACTCAATAAACATGAAGGAGAGGAGGACGAGACTCAATAAACATAAAGGAGAGGAGCACGAGACTCAATAAACAAGAGTGAGAGGAGAGTGTGAAAAAAGGAAACTTTTATCCTCAGAGGATGTTGACTTTGATACTTGAATCATCTTACATGATACTAAACCTAACCTAGTGGCCAGACTACAGTATGTGGGGCTATGGTTATAAGACTGTTGTACCAAGATGGTATGTTGTCTTACTTATTCTTTACTAACCATTTCAGAATGAAATTAATAGTCATGTTTATACAGACACTGATGTTAACGACTGGGTGACAGGTTACAGAATGGTGTCTACATTGTTATAAACCAGTAGTTCTAGAAATAACAACTTACCTAACTGAAGCAAGTCCAGCTTCACCCACTCTGTACCCTGAGGATGATCTGGTCGGACTCCATCCCGTATGAAGACAAAGCCATTCTCGGTGAGCCCCCACACGGCCTCAGGGCATGCACTGAGCCCCACAAGTCTGTGGCGGGGGGACGGGCTCTCCACATTTTTCGTGTGACCAGTGGAGGTTGACAGTGTGAAAACATCACCGTTTGGCTGCACACACCATACAAGGCCTGATGGGTAACAAAACACAATGTCAGAGAGTAGATCAATAATTCTGTTTTATATAATAATGAATGCAATTCAGTCGGTAAACTTGTATCTTCATAAAATTTGAAAATTAACTATATCAAGTTAGACAAACATGGTAACCAACAGCACTCAATGGCCAACCTCTATATAACCATATGCTAACCAAATTAATCCTTTCACCCCTATGTAACTTTAGTAGATTCTACCATGCATTGATCTGGATGAGTCCATTATGGTCTACAGTTGTGGAAGGGTTAATTCATTGATTCTGAGTGTGGCACAATAAACAATACTTTTTTGGCAACTAAAATACTATCAAAAGCTCAACACAAATGATTGGCTGGAATGAAATTTGATTCTAGAATAAGGCTCTTGGTATTTCATGGTCCTAATTAGGCCCTAGTTTTCAAAATGAACAAAACTGGATCTACATTAAAAGGTAGAACAAGAAAGAAAACTTTAAAACTCATGATTGTTTCGTCCTGAAGAAAATTTGCACCAACTTGATTAATGAAAAGTTAAGTTCTATGTTTTTTATCTTTAAATACTTGTTGATGTAAACTAAAAATATGCACATGTATATACAAAACTGTGTCTATTATGTTGACAAGACATCCCTACCATGTTTGTAGCTGGATACAGAGGCTGACAGGATCTTCCAGGCGATGGATGATGTAAACCCTGCCATGTTCACCCCCCGCCAGCTGTGACCTACCAAACAGTCACAGGTGAAAAACAGTTACTCTAATCAAACATTTTAACACATGTACATGTAGTCATATAAACTGTACTTGATTGGTTAAGTATTTACATTCAAACTCAAGAATCAACTTAATTTGATTCTCAAGCACAATATCTTTATCCAAACAATTATTCTCACTGTCAAAAATTGATTTTCTAAACAAATACACCACAGGTTTCAGAATGTATGTGGTTCTTGATTAAAATGCACATTCAGACACCTCCTTCATATGTATGTAGTACCCTACCCTCCATACTGCCTCTACAGATCTGGAGAATGTTCCTAAACTAAAACCAAACCCAGAAACCACCCTTCTATATGTATGTAGTACCCTTCCCTCCATACTGCCTCTACAGATCTGTAGGGTGTTCTTGAACTCTGAACACACAAAGACACCACCCTTCTATATGTATGTATACCCTACTCTCCATACTGCCTCTACAGATCTGTAGGGTGTTCTTGAACTCTGAACACACAAAGACATCACCCTTCTATATGTATGTAGTACCCTACCCTCCATACTGCCTCTACAGATCTGTAGGGTGTTCTTGAACTCTGAACACACAAAGACATCACCCTTCTATATGTATGTAGTACCCTACCCTCCATACTGCCTCTACAGATCTGTAGGGTGTTCTTGAACTCTGAACACACAAAGACATCACCCTTCTATATGTATGTAGTACTCTACCCTCCATACTGCCTCTACAGATCTGTAGGGTGTTCTTGAACTCTGAACACACAAAGACATCACCCTTCTATATGTATGTAGTACCCTACCCTCCATACTGCCTCTACAGATCTGTAGGGTGTTCTTGAACTCTGAACACACAAAGACATCACCCTTCTATATGTATGTAGTACCCTACCCTCCATACTGCCTCTACAGATCTGTAGGGTGTTCTTGAACTCTGAACACACAAAGACATCACCCTTCTATATGTATGTAGTACCCTACCCTCCATACTGCCTCTACAGATCTGTAGGGTGTTCTTGAACTCTGAACACACAAAGACATCACCCTTCTATATGTATGTAGTACCCTACCCTCCATACTGCCTCTACAGATCTGTAGGGTGTTCTTGAACTCTGAACACACAAAGACATCACCCTTCTATATGTATGTAGTACCCTACCCTCCATACTGCCTCTACAGATCTGTAGGGTGTTCTTGAACTCTGAACACACAAAGACATCACCCTTCTATATGTATGTAGTACCCTACCCTCCATACTGCCTCTACAGATCTGTAGGGTGTTCTTGAACTCTGAACACACAAAGACATCACCCTTCTATATGTATGTAGTACCCTACCCTCCATACTGCCTCTACAGATCTGTAGGGTGTTCTTGAACTCTGAACACACAAAGACATCACCCTTCTATATGTATGTAGTACTCTACCCTCCATACTGCCTCTACAGATCTGTAGGGTGTTCTTGAACTCTGAACACACAAAGACATCACCCTTCTATATGTATGTAGTACCCTACCCTCCATACTGCCTCTACAGATCTGTAGGGTGTTCTTGAACTCTGAACACACAAAGACATCACCCTTCTATATGTATGTAGTACTCTACCTTCCATACTGCCTCTACAGATCTGTAGGGTGTCCTTGAACTCTGAACACACAAAGACACCACCCTTCTATATGTATGTAGTACCCTACCCTCCATACTGCCTCTACAGATCTGTAGGGTGTTCTTGAACTCTGAACACACAAAGACATCACCCTTCTATATGTATGTAGTACTCTACCTTCCATACTGCCTCTACAGATCTGTAGGGTGTCCTTGAACTCTGAACACACAAAGACACCACCCTTCTATATGTATGTAGTACCCTACCCTCCATACTGCCTCTACAGATCTGTAGGGTGTTCTTGAACTCTGAACACACAAAGACATCACCCTTCTATATGTATGTAGTACTCTACCTTCCATACTGCCTCTACAGATCTGTAGGGTGTCCTTGAACTCTGAACACACAAAGACACCACCCTTCTATATGTATGTAGTACCCTACCCTCCATACTGCCTCTACAGATCTGTAGGGTGTTCTTGAACTCTGAACACACAAAGACATCACCCTTCTATATGTATGTAGTACTCTACCTTCCATACTGCCTCTACAGATCTGTAGGGTGTCCTTGAACTCTGAACACACAAAGACACCACCCTTCTATATGTATGTAGTACCCTACCCTCCATACTGCCTCTACAGATCTGTAGGGTGTTCTTGAACTCTGAACACACAAAGACATCACCCTTCTATATGTATGTAGTACCCTACCCTCCATACTGCCTCTACAGATCTGTAGGGTGTTCTTGAACTCTGAACACACAAAGACACCACCCTTCCATATGTATGTATACCCTCCATACTGCCTCTACAGATCTGTAGGGTGTTCTTGAACTCTGAACACACAAAGACACCACCCATCCATATGTATGTATACCCTCCATACTGCCTCTACAGATCTGTAGGGTGTTCTTGAACTCTGGACAAACCCAGAACCTCCCTTATATGTATGTAGTATCTTACCTTCCATATTGCCTCTACAGATCTGTAGGGTGTTCTTAAACTCAGAACACACCCAGACCCCTCCCATCCCAGCAGTAATTAGACCTCCACGCTGTGTGCTTAGAAGATGGGCCAGTTTCTGGGGGTCAAACTTTTTTGCAAGTGACCGTAATGAGTCCAAAGCTGTTAAATCCTCGGTAAGTATTCCACTAACAGGTACCTATGGTAAACAGCAATCATCATGTTAAAACAGCACTGGGCAGTATAAAACTGACCAATAACTCTTACACTGATATCTATTAATAAAACATATTTTCTTTCATTGATACCAATACTGTATTTTTGTTGATATTTACTCCTGTCTGTAGAACATAATCACTTTCATGATCAATTTAACCGTCAATCAGTCAATTTGATTGATTTAACAGTTCATATTTCATAAGCTAAATATAACAAAAGTGATTTTTATACCAATAAATACCAAAGTGTTCAGATTTGAGCCAAAAATTCATTGATAGGAATTTTGATCAGACAAAAGAAAATAACTGACAACACCATAAATCCATTCATGAAAATGGACTACCATATTAAACTTGTTTAAAATAAACAAGCTTGTTGCCAATTCTTACAAGATCTGGTTTCAAGACCATTATATTAATTTTTAAACAAATTGCCTGAATTTAGCAAAGTGATTCTTAAGATTCCTTAAGGTTTGTTATAAACATGTATATAATTTAGGTAAAACTGGTTATTTAAGTTGCTGGGGAGTGACTGTACTAGTTGAAGGACCATTGGTACAATCAGCAAAGCTATATATACTAGGTAGGTGTTCTGGTGGTCATTAGGGGCAGTGGATAACGCACTCACCGTTCACCTTTTCTCTGGGTACCACTGTTTCCTCCCTCATTAAGACCCCTACGTGCTAACATCCAGGAAAACCAGAGTTATCTAACTTGTTTCATAATTGTTGTAAAATTAAATCAAGTTTATATTTCACATAGGTGTTAACAGATCTAGAGATATTGAGTTGTCTGGGTGATGTCTTCCTATTTACTGGAGATCTCTAGGATCAGGAACTTTATCTTTGGGAAAAGGCACTTAGGTATAATCTACACTGAACATGGAGTCAACTTCAGGGTAAGATTTGTAACATACCTGCCACCAACACTCCTGGCCCATGGGTGTATCCTTGGATACTCCTGCGATGAACAAGATCCTGCCCAGGAGGTCAATTCCCCACCCTACACCATTATCTCCAAGGGCCACATAGGAGAACAAGACATCCTCCCCAACACTACAACACAACATAGCCTTACATATACACAACATAGTCAGGCCTTATTTACACACAGAAATGATTATCCACCAACAGTTCACAATGTCAAACTGTTCTTCGATGAAACAAGAATGAAAACCTAGTACATTTGTATATGTTGTACATATATTACAAGTTCTTTTTCCAGATAAACATTGAGTGCAGAGTACTCTTTGAGACATAAATCAAAACAATTAAGTGATTTAGTTGATTTTATATTCTTATTCATTTGAACTACAAGTAAATCTTGTATTTTTTTCCAGACGTCTTTATACTGTAACCTCTAGGTATATAATTATACACATGTATAAAAAAAAACCACTCATATACATTGAGTTTTTCTTCATTTAAATGGGAATGGCCTCTATGTTTACACTTCTTTTTGCTATTGAGCAAACAGGCTTTCCTCTCCAGATACTTTGATTAACAAAACACATACTGGTCATTGAACTGCCAGGTCTTGCCCTCCGGACACTGATCACTGACCCCAAGTCGGTACATCAGCTTGCATTCATCGGTCACCGCCCACACAATGCTGTCCTGACAAACCACCTGTCTGAACCTGAGCAGTTCATCTCCTGGGACAATGCTTGATTTGAAACATGGCCGATCCTTGGACAGTCCACTCTGTATCATCACCTCCCCAGTAATCTTTATATACCTGGATATATAACAAATCACCATCAACTTTCACTTACTTGGGAAAATCTGAATAAATCTTTCAAAAACAATAAATAACAAGAAAATACAAAAGTGTCAACAAAACCACAATTCCAACTCAAAATTGATAAAACAAGAGCAAAATATGAACGAAGGAAATATTAACATGGAGATCCTTGAAAAAGTACAAGGGGAATAAGACCAGGTGTTCAGGAAGGGTAAGAGTCTTCTGCTTCGTCGACGACACCTGCCCTGTAAATCTTAGTCGAATTCAAGTAATGTCCTGTTATCACATGGAGAACTCAGGTAGTGACAACAAAACCACAAGGAACTCTAGTGAGCATAATCAAAAACATCGACCTTTATATCAGACAGAGAAATAGCACATTTCCCTGTTAGATTCATCAACCTGCATCTTTGGTAACTCTGTGTTGTAAGTTTAACTTATAATCATAGATGTATCACTATTTTTCTTCTTTTAACAATCATGGTTATTTGTAATACATTTCAAACTATTCTAGACATGAATGCATGTCCAAAGTAGTCAAGTGTGATCTTTGACCCTTTAACCTTGACCACTTTGACCACTTGAATCTAATCAAGTGTAGAGCTTGATGTTAACTTTTTAATGATTTTTCTTTCACGCTAATGTTTTATTTTTCGTATTCGGCATGAAAATGTATGCAAGCTCCTTATTCAGCATGGGAAAGGGTTGAATTATACACAATAATGAAAACCAGAAAGAATGTGTAATACTCAAACAATATTTGATAACTTGAAACTCATTATGTTGAACACAAGTGATAAACTTCATTTTCAACTGCCGCATACATCAGTAAAAAAAACAATAAATCTTTCATGGCAAAGGGTACAGGGGAAGGAATTTCCACCCTCAGGATTTTCAAATAGGTGCAAACCCAATTTGAAAACCCCTTGGATGGAACTTCCCTATCCTACACCCTTGGGCATGAAAGTTTCTTAAAATCTCTTATCTTGCCCTTTGCCTGGCTACTCTTCATAGTCTTACCAAGCACAATTGTTGTCTACAGCCACAAACTGTACATTGCGGACAGCCTCCACCCACTTCATGCCCTCTGGATGTCGGGGGGTAATTTTAGTTCCCGCATATACAGTGTTCTTGTAGAGGCGCCACATGATATACCCAGACCTTGAAACCGCGATCTGATTGCCATAGTCTTTGATCTTCTGCCACTTGGGGTGGTCCACCTGTAGACTGGAGTAGTACACGTTACAACTCTTGTCCACCACCCACACGTGACTGTTACTGATAGCCAGACTCCACAGGTTTCCTCCCGTTGTTGCCTCTGTCCAATTATTGATCAGAGATTTTGATAAAGTTTCACAAGCATCAGCCGTCTCTACTGCTTGCTTTACTGCTCGCTTGACACCTTTCACCGCTAAAGATGTTACGCCCTTCTGTGACTCTGATGGAGAAGGAGTCAGTCCTCCTGTTTTCCCATAAATATCTTCAATTGATGCATCTGGAGTCTTATAGGAAAAATATTGTCTTGTATCATTTACCAGATCATCCATCTTATCCTTAACACGTTCCTGAGAGGCGTCATTCTTCTTTGGTGAATAAATGCTATCCTCCTCCTCTGACTCTATCAGGGCCAAGGTACTCTTATTGATGGGCACTTCACTGGAATCTGGAATAGTACTTGGTTGCACAGTTGTACCAGAGGAGTCTAGCAAAGAACTGGGAGTCAGGTTTTCACCAGAAGTGTCTGGTATTGTAACCGGTGCCACAATTTCACTAGAAGAATGTGACAAGTTTACCTCCTTGTTATTAACACATTTGGTAGTCTTACACTTCTCCTTTGGCTGTTCAGTATAAGTATTGGCACTCTGAACAATATGTACTGCTGACATACCTGGTACCACACTTGCTGATCCATGGCCATCATCCAGGATACCTGTTACAGTGTGATCACTAGTATCTACCACTGCTGGTATAACACTTGGTTGGGTCCCCTCACTTCTAACTCCTGAAGAATTGCCATCAGTTTCTTGTCTGCCAGCAGTAGTGTTTCCGTTCACAATATCTTCATGTCCTTCCTCCTGCACATTCTCCTCAGTCATGGTTGTATTCTGTGTCTGAATTAAATGACCAGGAAGATCTGTCAAAGTTCTCTCAAATGACTCCAGCTCTCTAGATATTTCTCTGAATTTGTCTGCATCCTCTGGTTCGTCCATGTTGAGTGGTTCACCAACAGGCTCCTCAGACTTACTATCTGGACTGACGGACCTGGGCGATTCGCCCCCCTGTTTGACCTCAGACTGGACGTCAGTGTTCACAGGTGTGACTTCAACTTCATTTGTCTGAGATTCCGCTTCATCTGCAAACAACAAACAAGGAACTAGAGGCAGATGTTGAATATTTTTAAAAGCAAAAATAACATCAAATTTTATCATGCATGAGGTAGTCCAGACATGATCATTTGGTTTGTATCGCAACTATGCTATCTTTGCAATCTTAAGTTACCGGTTTCTTAGAAGTCTTATACATACTCCATAAACATTTATTTAAATTTCTATCTTAAAACATAAAATTCACACATTGGGGGCGGGTGGGGGTGGGGGGTGGGGGGTGTTGTTACTATACCATGAAAGCTTTTCAAAGATCACCTTGATCTAAAATGATTTTCAGTGGCCTAACGTAAGTGATCAAATGCAATGAAAGAGTTCTTCACAAAAATCTTTTTTTTTTTAAATGGTTTATTTGATTTTTGTAAATTTATGAAATACATGGAATAATTAGTGAAAATGCCAAAGGTCACTGATGTCTCCGTCTCATTATATAATTGTAATGAGTTTTACAACATACAATGTACAAACCATCTTTTTCTTTAGCAGGTTTTCTCTTTTTCCTTCCTTTAATCTTTTGTCTATGAGCGAAAACAATATCATCAGAGGGTGTCTCATTTTTCAGGACTTTGTCAAGTTTTTCAATCATGAATTTCGGTGGGGGCCTCGAGGACTCCTCAGGTAGAATGCTATTCTCACTGTTCTGTGACACAACATCCTGATTATCTCCCTTCTCCTCACACTTCAGAATTGTTGTCTCTCTCATTGTGCCAATTTGATCCGTACAGATCTCTTCTGCTTCAGTGTCTGACACAGAATCGCTTGAGAATGGATTAAACCTCCCCTTATAAGGACTAGATTTGTAAGTATAAGTTTTTGCACTGGAGAAAATTTCTGTTTTTGGAGGTATACCTGAAAATATTTCAACTGTGAGAAGGTCTTGAGAATCTAACTGAACAACGGGTGGTAATGTTTTACTGGGACTCGGGCTATCACTGTCACATGACATTTTGTAACCAGCTATTTGTGATCTATCAATTTCTTGTGAGTGACCTCCATCCACCTCATCGTTATGTCCAAATCGGTCCATAGAGGAGACGAGATGAGACACAGAATTATCTCCCCCTTTTCCTGCTACTTTGTCCAACACCTTAAACTTGTCCAGGACATTCTCTTGAAGGAACTTGAGTGGAGACTTGGACGGTTTGTCCGACCTGGGCCTGACATCTAGTTCTCTAGTGTTAGTTGTACTGCCTTGCTGAAGGTATTTATTCTTAACAGCATCAGCTGCCAGCTGTCTCTCCCTGACAACTCGTTCGTACACACTCTCTGGGGAAAACAATTTCATGCATCTGAATTGAGACTGACATGGAAAACTCAAAAAAGAAAGTCCAGCTATCCAAAAATTATTGGGGCAATTTTTCAGATTATAAATATATCACTTGTAGTGTCACATGAATCTTAATTCCTTAAACAGTGAAACAATGTTAACTCAAACTAGCTGATCAAACATATTGATCGTAATTCATAAACCCTTTCACCACTGTAGACCAAAATGGACTCATCCAGATCCGTACATGCTAGAGTTTACTAAAGTTAAATAGGGGTGAAAGGGTTAACAGCTGAAATCAGTAGAATTTTAATGTAAATATTGGCTTACGGAGAATGTATTATTACATTTCTCTGACTACTGTAATATATATATTCTGTCACAAATCAGATGAATGTTCCTCATGAAACAGTTAATTCATAAATACACCAGCGAAAAATATCTCTCAAACAAATTACCTTGTTTAGCTAGAGGCTTCAAACCCAGTCTCACTACATTTCTGCTTGTATTTCTACGTAAGATAAAAAGATCGTCCTCTGTGGCTGCGACTCCTACAAGGACGCCGAGTCGTGCCTGGCTGGCCACAACGGTGTTGTTGTCCGGGTTCAGCAGGTACAGATGGCTGCTAGACCAGGTCACCAAGTACTTGTCCCGGTACAGGAGAAGTGTCCCGAACTGTTGGTCAGATGATTTCAGCTGATTTCGTGTCTGGCCTTCATATGGAATTATTGGAACGTCACGATGGGGCTGGGACAACAAGTCTTTAAACAAGTTAGTGTTCAGGACAATGCCATCGATTCCCGCTTTCCAAACACGTAGACCTGGACGGGCAGCATACAGCTGTGCATGTTCAGGATTACACAGGCCTGGGATGAAACAGGCCCCATAATTACCCAATCTGTCAGAAAAAAAACAAATGCCAGTCTGCTCAATTGGTATAGATGCTTTTCTTTTAGAGTACATTAAGTTAACATAGCAAATAGATGGTGATGATTGGGTATACCTCATTTCCATTGATCACGCCAAATGTTACTTAAATATTTAGGATATGTAGAAGAACAAGTAATAAATTATGGAAGAGAGCACAACAAAAGTAATGATTGGGTGCTGCCCTCAATACAGTATACAGCGAGACAAAGTTATAAGTCGGATCCATATCAGGCTTTGGGTTTATACAGGGTTTAGTTTACCATTAAACACTTTACACAAGTATAGTTGTTTTGTAGAGAAAAACTTTATGGTTAAATTTAAACATTTATAAGGTTCTATCTATATCAAACTGAAAAGTTTTTAAACAGACACTTACATTTTCCTGTCCTTTTTGCCAACTTGTGTCAGTTTGCTGTCAGGAAAATGGGGCCTGTAGACGAAGGAACGGTGAAGCGTGGAAACCAGCAATGACTTGTGAGCGTGATGGAGCTGAACAATCTCGGACTGTTTCTCCTCTAGTGATATGCTTGAACCACACTGTTTCTGTACAGGTATATGACATACTGCTTGCTTCAGTTTACACTGACTTACATTAATCATGTTAAGTACAGGGTATGTCAAACATATAACACATTTTTATATGGAAAAGTGGTTGCTGCTCATAGGTATAAGATTTATAGAAAGTTTTGATATAAACGGAAATGTAAATATAGGAAGGAACATTTGTGCACAACTGTAAACAAAAAATTAAACTTGTCTAAGTTAAACTAAATTCCGCCCAATGAATCAGTAAATTTAACCGGCATACAAGCCTTATAAGTTTGAATGTACAGAGTGACTCACATAATAGTCAAAGTCTCTGGGTTTTTTTTATATTTTTTGTACCTCGTAAAAGTCTACATCTGTACAGACTACGAGGCCTTTCCTGTCACCACTAAACAGCTTCATCCCATTTAAGCTCCAGGCAAGACTGGTCACACTGCTGTGGTGCAGATTCTGGACCACAAACTGCTGAAGCTGTAAGGCAAGTTTTACATGATGAATAATGGATCACATATAGAGCTGTAGGTTAAAGTCTTCATGGTAAATACTGGACTACAAACTGTTGGAGCTGTAGGGCAAAGTCTAACAAGAATGAAAACTTTTGGAAATATAGGGAGAATGATAACATCCGAAATGTGGTATACAATGTAGTAAAACATTTTAGAGTGCCTTAATTGCCATACATCATATCATTTTATAATCTAAATGACCCCCATAACTGTCATACATACGTAATAAAAATATTTTGGCCATCAGGGAAATCAGATATCACCAAATTAAGATGTTTTTTATCAAATTTCAAAAATCTCTGAAATTACTGGTATGAAAATAATCGTCACAAACCTGTTTATTCTGTCCTGGTAATGAAGATGGCAACTGGAAAATGTAAACAATACCACCATTTGTTCCAATGGCAACATGGTTGTCCAACCCCTTATGCAGCTGTACTACACTTATTGTGTCATTGTTGGACTGAAAAAGAAATTCAAAATATCTGCTCTGAAACATATTTTTGTTACCAACATAAAATTTAATTTTTTGACATTATTCAATTCCAAAAAATGAACATAGGATGTTGCAATAATCTACATGATCAAGGTATCTGCAGAAATGTTGAGCTTTCTGGATTGAGAAAACAGTAAATACAGGACTACTAGCTTTCTGTATTCAATAGATTTTCAGCTTATTCTCGACTTGATTAAAGATGTTCCACTATCATTTGTCAATAGCTAACCATTTAACCAGGTAGTACTGAACAAAGAACGCATTGTGTAATTAAAACATCAAACAAGTAAAAGATTTTGAGCAAAATAATGTGTGATCAACAACTTAAAACAGAAACAAAGCTTATGTTATATACATGTTTGGGTTTAAATGTGTTGCAATGTTTATGCCAATATAATATAGGAAGTTAATATAAATGGCTCATCCTGGAGCTTACCTCTGTCCTGAGTTTGTGTTCTACAGTACGTTTTTTCTGGTCAAACACAAAAACAAGGCCAACGTTAGAACCAAGTGCTATAAAGTCCTCGTTGGCATCGATACAGGTGAGAACAAGGTCACACTGGATGAGCATCCCCTTCTGGGCCTTCCGAGGAATCTGTGACAGCAACTCCACAAGGGGTTCATGTTCACGGAGGAATGGCAACTCCTCCTGTATGGTTTCTGTGGGTCCAACAGGGTCTGGACCCTTTGGACTGTCAGACTTCACCTCAGCTTCCATCTTTCAAACAAGGTCATTCTGCAAAATGTTTTTTATCCAAACATAATTACATAATTTTCCATATAAAATGTTATCTTTGTAGATGTTATGTATACATATTTTTACCAGATATCTAGCCATTGACCAAGGATATTTTTTCAAAAAAAAATGTATTTATCTTCTTTTGTTTACCTGCAATAAAACAATGATCCATGATGGAGGGAATACAATTACAATTATGATTAACAGATTATTGCGATGATATGAAGAACCATCCCTTATTTGTAAACGTGTCCCTTTATAAAGGGACAAAAATGTTCACAAAATGTACCACTGACAGCGCTACATTCGTCAAGCAGTCATGGTCATGTGAAACTTAAGTATGTACATCTTTTTATAGATTGCACTTACATGTATTTTGCCTGGCAGTAAATTGCATTATAAACTATGAGTGTGAGTAAAACAATGGAATATAGTTTTCAAAGGAAACGAGTAGAATTAAAACCACAATTTTTGTTTTTGTGCACATATGTTTGTTTTTACATGTACTAAATATGTGAATATGTTTCTAAAATGCTACACCATCTTTCTGGCAACAATTGCTACAAAGCAGTTGACACATCTTCATTCTTCAATATCTATGTAAAGCCGGATATATTGTCCATGTAAACAGAGACATTCTCAAAAACAAGTGACAATCCACTCAATAGACGGGATGAACTGACTAAAAAGAAGTTTAAAAATCAGGTATAACTTGATTAATTCTATTAAATAGTTAATTATGATTAATAAAAAAGACATTAAGCTATTGATTTCTAGCCACTAATTAACATGTCAGTAAATGTGTTGTAGGCTACATGTATCATTGGAGACCCTGTTTCAATGTGTAACAGCTATCAAGCTACCAAGTTGGCCGGCGCGTCTAATTACCCAATACTACCCAATACCACCCAATACTACCCAATACCACCCAATACTACCCAATAC